CTGCATATAATTTTGAGTTTAAAGCATTATTATGTTTTCCGGTAATAGGCCACTTTTTCCAATGCATCATAATTTGTCAGAAATTAAGTAATTGACGTTAATTATGCGTGGTGAATTCAACAGTAATTCTCCATTTTCATGACAACTTATTAGGGAAACTTAGAGTTAAATTATGTGTGGTAACGAAATAACTTAAATCGAGACTGTCCCAAAAGTTGATTTAGAAGTTTTATTGTTTTCTTTGCCTTTCTTTTTGGGTGGTCGAACGGTACGTATTGCACGCAAAAGTTGATATAGTTACGGATTCCAGCATAATTTTAGTTTTTCTTCCTCGGAAAAGACAAAAGAAAAAAGAAAGGAAAAGATAAGTGTCTACTATATAAGATCGGCAACCCAATCCGTCGAAATCGACGAGTTTCAACTTAATACGATCTCATAAAATTAATTTTTATTTTGAAAATTAAGTTTCAGATTAGATAAATCTAATCAAACTCAATCCAATATTATATAAAAAATTATTTTTTTAATTTTTAATTTATATATATTTATATAATTAGATAATTAAATATTTATATTTAAAAAATAATATTTTATATTTTAAAAAATAATATTTTATTAATTTCGAGTTCGATTGAATCGGGTATGATTTATATAATATCGGATCGAATTGGGTTCAAAAATAAAAAAATTAAAAAAAAATTTGAATATGATCGAATTTGAGTTTGATGAATATAAAATCGAGTAGAATTCGAAACTAACAAAAATTCATCTCAATTTAATATATTGCCAACTCTACTACTATTGGATTAAAAATATTTGAGAGTATATATATTTTGATATACGTTAAAAATATATATATTTTTTTGTTATCAAAATCTTATAAGTAAACTTAATAATTTAAAATATAACTAAAAAATAATTAAAAAAATAATGATATAATTTAAAATTTTAACAAAAATTATATATAATTTTAATAAAATAAAAATATATATTTTATATTTTCATATCATAAAATTATAATATATAATTTTTATTTAAAATATAATATAAATATATAAATTATCAATATTTTATATAATATAAATTTACGAATTATCAAATTTATTATAAGAAAATGTGAATTATAAATTTTTTTATTTCTTTTTAGATTGATTAGTGGCAGATTTAAATTTTTTTTAAAAGATTATTTACTTATAATATATAAAAATTATTGATAAATTTATTAATTCCTGAAAATATTTTTCTTAAAATGTTTTTCTCAACTGTAAGGGTGTCCATAAAAAGATTTTCAAGGTCTTTAGTAAATTTTATAAAAAATTTATTATTTTTTCTCACTAAAGGTGGCTCCGAAATTAGCTGTCCACTTCTTTCCACGGATGCATGGGGAGTAATTTTCCTTAAAGATTTTATAATATCTTATTTTTATTTATTTCCTCCGTAAGCCAAAAGGAAAATTAAACTTTTTAAATTTATTTATTTTAAACCCAATGTTTCTAACATTTTTGGTACATTATAGAACTAAAATACATTGATTGATATATGTTGCATCAAGAAATTATGGTCTAGAAATCTGATGAAGGTGTCAAGATTAATTAAAATAATAATCTTAGTTAACTTGCGTAGACTTCATTTGGATTGAAACGTTACCCAATGATTATCTGTTTGGATGATTAATTTGCAATGAAAATCAGCTTTTAGTGATAGAAAGTTTTGAATCCAGTGACTCAAAGTTCATTTGTTTTTTATTTTATTTTTTTGTCCTTGTAATTACATTGAAGAGATAATAATATTTTTATAATTTAACTTTTTTTTATTTAAAAATTATAACATAATTTTGTTAATTTAATATAATAAAAATACTATTTAATATGTTATAATTATTTTTATTAATTTTATTAACAAAATTATTATTTTCCATAAGAATAATTTAAATTAAAATTTTAAATAATTTAAAACTTATATTACATATAAATTTTAATTTAATATCTTTAATAATTATTTTTTTATCATAATTTACATTACCACCAATATTGTATTTATTTTTATATATATCTTATTACTAATTTTAATTTTATCGTTATAATAATTAATATCATTTTCATCACTATTTTAATTTTATCAAAACCAATTTTATTGTACTTTCAAATATATCTTCAATAATAGTATTTAAGATGAAAGTTATGTTAGTGATATTAAATGGCAAAATATATGTATATATATATATATATTTCCCATTGAAACATTTTCATCAATAATAGTAGTCATTTAAAACAATTTTACTTAGTTAATTATACGATTCAAATCTCATAATCTATGATTTTTTTTTATATAAAAAATTGATAATAACGATAACAACAGTAAAGGCCAAAAATTGCCAAACCGTTTTTTATCAAGAAATCAAACAAAGGTCACATGAATGGATCCAACTTATTTTATGTAATTTTGCCCATCCTTTAAAAACTATTATAATTTCACCCCCAGATTTTCTGCATCTTTTTCTTCTTCTTCTTCTTCATGCTTAAATGTACCATCATTATTGCAATTGCACTTAATTCACGGGGGACGGCATCTCTAATCTTGCCTTTTTCTTTTCATTTCAATCTTTGGCTGGACAAAAAAATTGAGATATCTGCTGTTAACTGTTAATGTCCACCCAATCTTTTTACACCAACTTGAACTTGCATGGCTGGCTGAGCAGTAAGATTTGCTCGGTAGATGGATAGGGTGTTGACGTTTGACGACACCCAAACATTAGTGGGTCCCTTACCCAATTGTTTCAAACCCCCAAAATGAGTGGGCTCCCACCCTGGTTAAACTCAATTGAATCAATGAATCATGATCATCTCATCAGATTGTTTTCACCATTTTTAACAAACAAGTAGAGTGATCACTGCTTAGACAGACGTATGGGATGAGATTTTGTTGATTTGGAAAATCTTAGTCTCCAATTTCGTGTCGAAGGATAAAACTTTAAAATTAAAAAATAAAAATAATGAATTTTTTTGTGTTTGTATTTTTGCTGTTTTCAATTAAAAATTTATTAAAGATGAAGGTCAGAAAAAAATAAAACTAAAAAAAGAGTCTAAAAAAATAAAATCGACGAATAATACTTACATGATTTTATTTATAAATAAAAAATTTTAAATAGTTTTAAGTTGCTTATGATTTGTCTAAAGTTAAGGTGATTTAATAAATCAAATTGACCTAAACATTAAATATTCATTCAAAGGATAACAAGTCTTATGAGAATTCGTTGGATAAATTGATGATAAGATTAAATTAATATAATATTATGATTATAAATCGATTTGATATATTAAATCGATAAAAAAATAAAAATATTTTTAATTATTTGTTGATAATTTTTAATAAAAAAAGATAATTAAAATATTTTTTAGATTTAAAAATATTCCTCACAACAAATTTTTCACACCTTCCTTCTTTAACCATCTAAAAAAGAAAAAAGTTTTACTGATGAAAGATGTTTGTTAAGATTAGCAATACATAGATTTTCTGTTAAAATTACGATTGAAAGTAATAACATTTTCATCATAAAATCCAAAAGAAGAGAATTTGTAGATCCAAGTACCACTAGAGCAAGAACGAGGGTCTAAGCCAAGTTTTTATCGCAAAAAGCAACGCAATTTTGGGAAGGCAGGGCAGATTTAGTTCATTGAATATCCCCATCCTCAATCCTAGTCACGTGCTTGACTGCTGAACGAGCACTTTCGACATTTCTTGTCTCCACTCTTCCCTATCTCCCCTCACATGCTCAACTTTACATTTCACACTCCGCCATTTACTTCCTCCTTTAATAACTGACAATCTCTCCCCTTTTTGTTTTTCAATTTTTTTCCATTTCATACATTGAAAATTGGAACAAAGCTACAAATAAAAATAATATAGATGCTCTCAACCTAATGGTACATGTGGGCGTTCACGTGCATCTCCCATTGAATTTTAATTGTAATTGGATAATACTAATCACTCTCTACTCCCACGTGAACTTTGGTTCTAAATTAAACGGGATCTAATTATTGTTGATTTGTTGCAACGATTCTTTTTTTTTTTTTTTAATTTCTAATTCAATTTGGTGACTATACTTATAATAATTGTATTAAGCCAGTGAAAAAAAAATCACTTATAATAATTATAGTATAATTATTTTTATGTAAGATTTATAAAAATTATGTAAAATTTATATTTTTAAGTAGTAGATTTCAAATTATAATATTATAATATAAAAAATTTATAGATGAAATGTTTTTGTGAAAAAAAAGCTATTGAATAAAAAAATGAAAGTTTTGTTTTTTTGAAAATTATGTAACGAATGTGTATTTTTATTTTTTTGAAATATATTAAATGGATCTTTTAAAGTATATAAAAAGAAGTTAGTTTTATTTTAAGATATAAAAACATAAATTTCTTTAATTTTATTTTAAAATTTTTGTTAATTTATTAATTGAATGACACCAATTTAATAAGAAATTTGAAGAGCAAATTCTTAAAAAACGAATAGAGTTAAAAATTTATAATTTGTTAAGACAACTTTTTTGGAAGACTAACTAATATGTTTTTTATGAAGATTAATTAAGGTTTTTCTATTGATGCTTTCATTTTTAGTTTTTTTACAAAATGAATATCAATCAATTAAAAAAAAACTAATATTTTTTGGCAAAGAAAAAAAAAACAAAACTAATAGTAGTTTTTATCATACAATTATAGAAAAAAGAAAGGGATAAAAATCTTTCGGTCCTTGGGTATGTAAAAACTAAGAACCGCAGTGGTTATTGTTATTTTTATCTTTTTATTGTTAAAGAAGAGTTTAGGATGGAGGAATTTTTTTTTGGAACGGGAAATTGCAGGAATTTAAATCTGATTTATAGACCGTTTATTAAAGTGATTTGCTGGGATACATAGGAAGATATTATTTGTTTTAATTAGAAAGTTTTATTGTTTCGTCTCAAAAAATTGTCTCATATACTATAATGGATTCTAATAATATTTTTATATGAAATTAGAGTATTCTAAGACTATTGGCAACGAAAATTAAATTTAAATGACGAATTGTTGCTGTTGTTATTTTTGTTTGACATTAACTGCTAATCCCTATCAACATTTAAAAGGCGCTGCAAACTTTCACTGCCGCCATTTCCTATAACCACCAAATGTCACCGCCAATTGTCTTCCTTTCTTTGCCTCACTAATTCAAGTTTTCAGTTCAACCCACACAATATCTAAAAAAACAAGCAAAACCTACCCATAAACAACAATGTCCTTCAAGAACCGACCACCGCCGAGTCCGCAACCGCATCCGCAGGATCTCAAACAACGCGTTATTACTTGCCTAAACAAGCTCGCCGACCGCGACACTCTCGCCCTCGCTTCCGCCGAGCTTGAATCCATCGCTCGAAATCTAACTATCGATACCATCTCTCCGTTCCTTAACTGCCTCTACAACACCGACTCTTCATCGAAGTCTCCTGTTCGGAGGCAATGTGTAAGCCTTTTAACTTTGATGTCTCATTCGCACGGTAACACTCTGTCTCCTCACCTTTCTAAGATGGTTTCCACCCTTGCCCGCCGCCTCCGCGACCCCGACTCCGCCGTTCGATCCGCCTGCGTCGAGGCATCAACTGCCATGTCATCTCACATCACGAAACCTCCGTTTTCGGTTTTGTCGAAGCCTTTGATCGAAATGCTCCTGGTGGAGCAAGACGTGAACTCGCAGATCGGAGCAGCGATGTCTTTGGCGGCGGCGATCGAGGCGGCTCCAGATCCCGAGACGGAGCAGCTTAGGAAGGTATTGCCGAAGTTAGGGAAGTTAGTAAGGAACGAAAGTTTCAAGGCGAAAGCTGCGGTTTTTGGAGTTATCGGAAGCGTCGCTAGTATTGGAGGTGCCAGAAGTAAAGGAGTTTTGGATTGGTTAGTGCCCTGCGCGGTGGAGTCTTTGAGTAGCAAAGATTGGGGAACAAGAAAGGCGGCGGCAGAGGCGTTAGGGAAAGTGGCTATGGCGGAGAAAGAGCTGGCAACGGAGTATAAAGTGGCGTGTGTGGCGGCTCTTGGAAATAAGAGGTTTGATAAGGTGCATCCGTGTGTTTCTTGACTCAGTAATTATTTAATAAATGAATTTTTTTTTCTCGAGAAGCAAAACAGAAAAAAAAAAAGAAAAAGGAAAAGGAATATTGCTACTCATTTTGATAAATTTTGTTGGTACAGGTAAAGATCGTCCGAGAAACTATGAATCGTAGTTTGGATTCATGGAAGGAAGTTCCTGGAGTTTGTGAGGAGGCCTCAGCTCTGCCTCAGTCCAAGTCATCTTCCATAGGTATAATAAAGATTGAATTTTGTTTAACTGATATTTGGAAATTAATCATGTCCAGACCCAGAAATTTGGATACTATATCGGTTTTCTTCAGTAAGGAAAAAAAATTTATACTTCTTCAATGGGAGTGCTCAATATGATTTCGAGTTTCAGTTTAAAATTGTGAAAATTTTGAGTGTTACTAGTATTGTGCTCTGTAAACATTTATGCTTAGTAACTACTGCAGCAACTATTTGCTTTTATCATTTATGATTCTGTGCTTTGCTCGTGGAAACAGATAATGGTAGCTTTGGATGCTTCCCTTCAGTTACAAAATGTGTCAATGATATTGGTTTTGGGACTCCCCAATCAAAGAAAGTAGTCCCCATGAGCAGGTCCCCTCCATCTGATGCTTCGACCTTGCCGACTGCTAAGAAAGAGACTCCCCCGAAGAGTAATAGTAGGAATGGGAACACATTCAGTTTTGGTAGGCTGGACCGCTCAAAACCCTCTGATTGGAAGATCGAAATTGCTGAACCTAAGTCTCTGTTTTGTGGGGCCTTTGGTGATGATAATATTAAAAAGAATAACCTTGTAGTCCTGGGATCAAGAGAAATTGGGGACAACGGAAATTTTAGGCCGGAAAGGATACGTGTACCCTTTGGCAAGTTCCATGATGAAAAAGTGCTGAAATTTGATGGTTTGAGATCTGGGTCTCGAGTGGTACCTTTTCATGATGAGGAGTGCATAGATGTTGATGAAAAAAATGCAGCTCTAGAAGTTGATGAGAATCCCAAAGACATTGAGAATCTGTCTTTGATCCGTGAACAACTTGCTCAAATTGAAGACCAGCAGTCCAATCTATTAATCCTCCTCCAGGTAGTTTATCGAAGCTGAATATCCTACTTTTCTTTAAATAGTTTTTTTCAGTTCTGAACGTACCAGGTAACACTTTCGTAATTTCTTATTATTCTCTGGAAGTTACTGGTTTGCAACTGTGTTTGACTTAGGTTTTCCAGTGAAATCCTGGGCTATGGCATTTGTAATAATGCCTAGTACTTTCTGAAATTCTTTTGCTGTCTGTTTGTGCTTACTTCTATTCTTTAGGACTTTAGCCATTCCATGGAGGATATTTCTTAGAGTATTTCTCAAGGATTGATTTACTTCTTTTTGGGAAGGAGAAGAATTATGTTTCTGATGACCAAGTTAATTTGAACTCAGTAAACACCTTGTCTACACTCAACTTCCTCAGAAGTCAGAACCTGCTTCTTTTCTTTTACCCTTTTAGAGTACTATTCGAGTTTATTTAATTTCCATAGATCATTTTAATAATTTATCAGCTTTGTTATGTAATATGCCTTGATGTATTTGTTATTAGCTCTACTCTTTGCTCTTTTTTCCCTACTATTCTGTTTGTACTTCATAAATTCAGCTTTGTATCATATCCTGCTAATGTTAAAATCATTTTTATTTGAGTTCTGACACATTTATAATGGTTGTTCTCTATTTGATTCTAGAAATTCATTGGGAGCTCCCAAAGTGGGATCAATTCTCTAGAGACTCGTGTAAATGGTCTTGAGATGGCTCTGGATGAAATATCTTATGATTTGGCTGTTTCAAGTGGAAGGATTCCAACCATGGATTCTGCAGATAACACATGTTGCAAGCTGCCTGGTGCAGAATTTCTGAATCCCAAGTTTTGGAGGAAAAATGAAGGTTGGTTCTCTACTTCAAGGTTATCTTCTTCTGGGTGCATGCTTTCTCTAAATGCTATACATAACACATCTGATAAAGATTCTGGTGGTAAAACGCATAAGCCAGCAGTCAGCCAAAGATATCGTTGTCAAGGTAGGGGTGGATTTGTTATTAACCCAGTGGCAGATGGTGGCAGTGAAATAAGAGAGAATTCAGGGTTCTCAAATAGAATATCAAAGAATACCATTCAAAATGCTGAGATGGTTCAGGTTGGCAATGCTAGTGGTCCAGATGGGACTTCATTGGTTCGTTGTACAGCAATGATGAACCTTAGCAGCAGGTAATGGAATTTCAACGTAAATTTTCTCGTACTTCTATTATTATAATTATAATTTTCTAGTCAGGTCAACAATTGCTCTTTAAATTTGCTATAGTTCATGACTGTCTAGAATGTTTTGTGTACTTGAGTCAGTTATCAAGTCAATTGTTTGATGATCTTTTTTTGTTTGTCTATCAGATCATCAGCTTAAGTTGAATGGGAGTTGGGCTGTTTGAAGAACCACCTTAAGCTAGTACACAAGCGCCATGGACAATCAAAGCTTGGAGATGAAATGATACAATAAAGCAAGTCAAATTGTAGATCAAATTATGATGTAGAGGCGCAGTCATTTGGCTTGTTACACGAGATTGTAAGTTTTTTCCTTTTTATTTTTGTTAGTAATAATTAACCGCAGTACTAGTCTACTAGAGCAAGGCTTTGCATATACAGAGTTTTGGACAGAATCCTTGCCCCATCACTGATTTGTTTTTGCAATAGAGGTCCCCATCAATGTAAATAGACAGTCTTTATTCATCTGTTTTCGGCTTGTTATTATTAGTTCCTGTGCTTTGCATATAAATTTTCAATCTTATGCGATGTATTTTTCATCAAGGAAAGAAAGGGATACACTTGAGATATGTTTCTACGCTGTTTCTAGAAGTGTTTTTAAGTACAACTGCTTACCTCGTTAAGGTATTATGCCAAGTTATGATAGCAGGGGTTAGGCCCAAAGTCGAGCAAATTCTTTAGCTACACAATTTAATTTCATTATCTTCATAGCCTCGGCCAGATAAATCTGGCTTGGGAGGCCAAGGCCATGCATTGCCAAACATTGACTTGAGGACTCTGTCGATATTTCACAGTTCCTTTCTAGTTTCTCATGACTATGACTATGAGCGCATGGTAGAATGCATTTTTCTGTTATCAGACACAGAACACAACACTTGCTAATGCAACCGAAATGACTATACACTCTCTAATCCCACTTCTTTCAGCTTTTTTGAGCTATAGGAATAGGAGAGAGTACTATCCCATAATTTCAGTCATTTCTTATATGTATTTATTTAAGATTGATTTTTTTAGGTACAATATTTTTTTCAACTAGTGCACTGTCCGAGAGTCTTAACTTATATTTTTTCACTTTTATAAGTATAAATTTTTTGTAAAATTTGAGAAAGAAATTTTAAAAAAAAAGGCATGTTTTCTTAGAAAAAAAAAAACCAGAAACTTCGTTCTTTATGTCTTTCTTGACAACTATTTTAGTAAATTCTTAAAATACATGTGATTAACTTATTTATGCATTTTGTAATATTTTTCTCTAATTCTTCTTAATTTATAATGGGATTTTAAAATTTAAATAAAAAAAAAAAAAAAAAAAGTCGAGAAAAAGATGATTGATAAAACAATCAAAAGTTCCTTTAATCACGAAAGGACCCAAAACTCTTTAATCCAACAAAGAGGCCCAAATTTTAAAGAAAAGTGCTTAGATCGAAAGACCCAAAAACCTTTAGCCTAATTTACCAAAACAATCCAAAAATTCTTTAACATGTCCTTCAAGGCGGGTGTTGCCACGAAATTCATCTGTGGTTACTGGTTAACTTTCATAGATGGATAGATAGAAGATAGATGAGGCCTTGGTTCGTTAGTAAAACAAAATCAAAATGAGGTGACGAGAGTCATGACATAAAAATTCAGTGAAGGTGGTGTTGACTATTGAGAAGCCTTTATTAGGTTTAATGGTTGAGCAAGTTTCCTTGACTAAGTTTTGAGATGGGCTGATGGATCTGTGTCCTTTTTTGTTTCTCTTTCAGAAACAATGGGCTTACTTTTGACCCATTCCACCCCATTAAATTTTAGCCTTCTGTTTTTTTTTTTTTTTTTTTTTTAATTTTAAAAAAAAATCACAATTTGAGAATAGAAATAAATACTATAAGTATTAAGATCTGGATTCAAAAAGTGAATAGATAAATCAATTGAATTAAACTTTAAGTTTATTTTAACTTTTTATTTCTAAAATAATTCAATACTTGATTAACATCTATGTTGCTAACCTTTACTCGTGTTCAACTTCAATCTCAAATGCCCCCATAGCCATCTTCACCTACTTTCACTTTTACTCAATTATGTTTATTCTTTTAAAGGAAAGATAATAAGTTAAGAACCATTAATAAAAATCTAAATTATCCTTCGTTTTGATTGAATATAATAAATTTTATAAACATAACCTCATTGTTTCATATACTTATTAAAAATTACTTTTAACATTCTTTTTTGTTTTTTTTGGTTGTTTGTTTTAAGTTAATAGTTTTATTAATTATATTTTGGTTAAGTTAATAGTTTTATTAATTATATTTTGGTTAAGGTCAAACTTAATTAAGAAAAAGGAATTGTTAAGATTGAGCTGTTGGCAGATTTTGGGTTTCTTGTATCTTTCACATGTCACTGTGTTTGTGAATTGGCAGCAGCCACCCCAAAATAAAATGCTAGAACCTCATCGCCTGCACAAATTCTATTCTAATTTCTATGTAGCTTTAGTCGGCTAGGGGTTTATTTATTACATTAGTCACTCTCAAATCTAAGCGCAAGCTAGTTCAAGATGTGATTCTGGTATATGTTCCCTGTCAAATCAGCTTCTTGGCTGCCATTCTTTTAACTGCCAGACGATGGATGTTATTGGAAATGAGGAAAATAGTGTATTTATATCATTATTAATTTTTTTTTTGTTTTTATAATATAATATATTATTCTTGTACCTGTTCTAGCCTTGATCACATTGGAGATTATTATGCTCTCCAGCAAAGTCGAAAAAGATATAATGTGCATTGGATTTGTGGACCATTGGAATTTTCTTTTATGAAAGTGATTTAAACATTCTTATAAAATTAAGCAAATAGTGAGGAAGGTGATTGAAACAACATTTCTTCTTTTGAAGTTGTCATTCGTATTAGAAGAAATGCATAATAGAAGTATAAAAATCTACATCTGACCCCAAATTCAAACATTCATCTTTAGTTAATTTATGTTAATTATGTCCAAGGCAAAGGAATCACCTAGAATTCCATGTGCCAAGAGAATCCTTTTCTCTAAATGTAAGAGCAGGGGTGTCAGGTTTAATTTTCTTTTAACTAAAGTAGCAATTTCTTCCTTAGAATTAGATGACCATACCAAAATGCTTTCAAAAATTGTGGGAAATCGTTCTCTCACGACCAATCATTTGTTCCATGAATTCATTTCTTTGTGACGAGTTTTGTAAGTGCATATCTCTTATAGGTTTCCTACGTGTGGGCGGGGTGAAGCAAGAACATAAAGTGAAAATAAAATTAAAGGGTAAGCAAAGCATATTTCTTTAACCTTGAGAATTAAGATTTCAATTGTTTCGACCAGAAGTGGCATCAATAGATGTAAAAACAGCCAGCCAATTATGATGGAACTTGAGCCACCCACTCTTCAAGCGAACATATGCCATGTTCACATTTCAAGAGAACACTTTTATCTTTAGACTACCTAATAATAATAATAATAATAATAATAATTTCATTTTTTTCTTGTATATTGTTAATCGAATTAAAGAATATATGCCCATTTAATTTTAACTCTCCAATAATTTTAATTAGTTCCCAAATTTCTTTGATTTTTTCTTTTATAAAAAGTAAAATTATCATAATCTATAGTTTCATTGATTGAAGTTTGCGATGCGCCGAGCACCCTCTTGCATTGGCACAACATTACGGTCTTAATTCTTCTTTCATCGATCATCAAGAACAACAGTTATAGAAAGCCGAATGACAAAATTCCATCCCTTTCTCAAACATATATAAATAAACAAACAAATAAAAATGTTTGAGGGAAACCATTAAGTATATATAGTTTAAAGAAAATTTTATTGGATTTCATCACATAGTCACAATGTATTTTAAATTTTAATTTTAATATCGTTTAAAAAACTTTAGTTGAAGGCCTCAATTACAACATTTCTGACATTGACAAAATAAAGAAAGGCCTGCTTTATGTGAATTGGGGGGGGGGAGGGGAGGATAATTCTCTGTTATTACATCCCGAACTGTAGTAAGAAAAAAAAAGTTAATTAATGAAGGTACAACCAACGACATGATTAAAGACAATAATTTTGTTTTGATTATGCTGAGTGGCAAGGGATGGGGAGTTTTCCAACAAAATTTATTTAATCGATAGATGTTGTAAGAGGTTAAAGCCCGATCTGTAATGAATGGGAAATTTTCACTTGTGTTCCACGTGGCTGGAGTTTTTTCTATCCTCATGTTCAATTGGACCACCTCTCTCTCCCTGTTTATATTCATAATATAACAATGATTTGATGCAGGAAAATACCTTTTCCATGTTTTTTCCCCTTTTGATTTGGAAAATAAAGGAGAATTTGAACCATTTTAATTTTTTGAGCATGGGATCATATACCAATCACTAAGCTATGATGATTGATGCACTCACTCTAACGTATATATTTTATTAACTATCAAAGTCAAATAATGTTACTTCTTTAATGAAAACTTTAAAAGTCAAATTTTTATATATTTATTTTAAATTTATTTTATTTTTATTAATCAAGTGATATTATATGATTAATTGATAATATATAAAATTTATATATTAATCGCACTTCAAATATAAACTCTACTTGTGTTAACATGAAAATAATTTATTTAACTTCATTCAATTTTAAATCATTTAAAAAAGTGAAAGTAGTTTATTATAAATTTATAATTTACTAGTACATGAAATTCGATTTCGCACGGTTTGTTATAATAATTTTTAGTATTTTATTGAATTGAAAACTTATTGATAGTCAATGGAAGCTCAAAAATTTTAGTGAAAGTAATTTAGTTAAGTACAAAAAAGAGAGCGCTTAGGTAAACTGTTTCATTTTCAATTATAATGTGATGCATTCTAACTTACACAAAGACAATATTAACAATGACCACACTAAGTTCAAGTTGAAACAAAAAGGTAAAAGTTACGAATTTTGGTGTAACCATTTCGTTAGAAGAATTGATGAAAAAGAATAATGTGACTCACTTGAAACATCTTGAAAACATGCGAGAATGTATTTCTTTTCATCAAAATAACTTCTTTTTATAAATAGGCTTTCATCAATTCCTTTTCGCTAGCTCTATTTTTTATTTTTGTCAAAGTTGCAGGATGATTATTTAAGCTATCAAATGGATTGGCAAGCCAACGCTAGATGTCTAATCCAATTGAAATGACTTGAAAGCTTATGCAAACTCATTGACTACTATAAAACGATATTGTAATTCTTCATGACACCAATATTGTCTTTGATCCTTTCTTGATGTAACCTACAATATTGAAGAAAATATAGGAAATATAAATTGGTTTCAAATCTTAGTAGACTTAATTCTAGATTATTTGACTATTGAAAACTTTGATGTGTGATAATAATATAATTGTATTTGTTTCATATCATAGAATAAATATAAATTTATTTCAATGTGCTTACTTTCTGCACGTAGTTTGCAATGCCTTTTCTTTTAGGACATTTAAATCTCATAGATTCAAAGAACTCAGGAACATATTCATGTGATCCTTGATAAACAATTCACCCATTTTAGAAAAGGATAATGTCATCAAAGAAATTTACCAAATAGAATAGGAAGGAACATAATGACATAAAAGAAAGGTCTAATGACATAAAGATTCACCGTAGAGGATCCAAAATTTATCAAATTGGCTTTTGCCATCCATTTTTAAATTGAAAACCAGGGAAAATTTTAATTGTAGTTGGTAGTCCACCAAATTGTCAAGTTTCAACCAAACCTTATAGAGTCAATTTTTTTTTTTTTTTTAAATCGGGTTTCAAGTTGGGTTTTTTTGAAAAATCGAGATCGAGTTTTAAGCAAACCCACTCTGACTTGACTTAGTATATATATAAAAAAATATTTTTTATTATTTATTTAATTATATATTTAATTATATATTTATATTTAAAAATAATATTTTTTATTAATTTTAGGTTGGATCGATTACGATTATATACATATGTGGGTCAAGTATAAAAAATAATATCTTAATATC